ACAATGACATATTACATAACTCTTATTCATAACGCCGCCCTTTAACCCCGTTTCAAGTCCACAGTTCACCGGTCAAAAAAAAGTTCCAAAAAATTGTCTTTTCCAAGATATAACAATCACACAAAAGTAAGCAATTAAAAATAACACTGAACAATATGATTCAATTAAAATGATACAATATGACTGAAAAAGCGCTCATATATGAGCTAAGAATTCATCAGATTGCTCATATACAAGCTATGGTTACATTAGATTTCAGAAGATTGCATACATCAGCAATATTTCAAAGGATTTCGGAGATTTTCTCACTTAACTTTAAAGCATTTGCAATCAAACGCGTCAAATAATTTCATTGGTATATACTGGTCGAATCAAGTAAATACATCGATATTTGATATTTGTGTTACTTCGAAAATTTTCACAACGAAACAAATTCTATGAGCTAAGTACATAATGGGCATCACGCAAAAATGTTGGTAAATGATCAAAGGTGAAGAAACTCATCGACTGTTGCTCGAACGATTGACGAACCCAGTCGGAACGAAGCCTCGCGAAACGCCGTGCTGATAGAAATAGCGGTTTACCACGTCTGAAGACACATTCAATTGACCCACTGCCGAGCCAGCAATTCGCATAAGCAAAAATAAATGATGAAAGGCAAAAAGACGTTCTTCTAACGTCACGTCACGTTGGATGATTCGAATTGAAAAACAAGAAGAATGAAGACAAATTGAATGTGAATAATTTTTTATCCATTTTCGACAATTGTTTTAATTGAAATTTTTATTTTCCTCTATCCCGGTAACTTTCCTTTTTACAATTTTAAGTCATCTAATTTCCCAACTTCATACCTCATTATTTAACAACTTCATTTTCAAAAATCAAGCAAGCACATATACATATTACCTAACTTGTAAGTAATTTCTCGGCTATAATCACATTTGACTTCCTTCACAATTATGCAATAACGCTAACCTTAAGTTACGATCCTCCTCTCCATGAATGTCCAAATAAACAGATCCCCAGAGCGCGGCTTTATGCCTCGTCACAATCACGATCAGTGATGTGTTAAGCGACAGGAAACACGCCACTCCACTTCCACATTGTATTGCGTGCTGGAATTAACACGAATCGTCGCATCAATATCGCGCTATTTTCACGAATATTCAACACACAAATATTCATATGATGTATTCTCATGGCAAAACATCGTACACACAACAAAACTCCCTATCCAAATCAACTCACCCGTTCCACTTCGTTATCAGGCACCATCCCTCCAGTGGATGTCACACAACAACTGTCCAAACAAACCACCTCTGAGCACAACAAACAGATGAATGGATTCCGTGGAATCGTACCACAACTCAAACATGAACGACCAAAAAACCGCGAGAACAAATCATCATAGTTTGTTGGTAACTCCAGTATAGTGAAACGACGCCATACAAGCGCCTCCATTTTCAGTGTCTAAAAGAAATGAACATTCGAATCGATATAAGATAACGAATTCTGCGTAGATTATTGACATTAGCATATTAGAGTTGGTTATGATTTATAATTTGATTTCAAGTGACAAACTCCCTCCCGTTCGTTCACAACTTTCAAGATGTTGCCTAGAAAAGATAGTCAGATTAGTTTTTATCGAAAATATATATATCATTCATAAATATTCCCTAACATTCAATATAGAAATACGTCGAATAGCGAGTTTCTTACGAAAACCACCTAATCTCTAGAGTGAATAGAAGATGCCACGAAATCAATGCGAAATATTACATGAGCTATAAACGGTATCCATCTTGATATCACTTTAATCCAGTTGCTCAACGAAGCTGCCGGTAGATAGCTTATCGATAACTGTTCATTACCTTAAACAATTGCAACATTGATTTTCTGCATGAGAAATTGAAAATTTCAATAGTGATTAAAATAATCGCAAACGATAATTCACTCGAAAAAATTCTATTGTAAATTAATCATTTAAAAGAAATGCAAAATTTTGAATTTGAGAAAAAAATGCAAAAGTGTAAGATTTGACAAAATTCTGACGTACAATTACAATAGTTGAATTTTGAAAACGAAAATTTTCATCAAACTCAAAGGGAATCTCTGAACTAAAATAATAACGACAGCATCGCATCAAAACCTGTCAGAAAATGATGCATTTGCTCGAGAGATGTGTGCCCAATTTTGAAATTGTCCGGCAGTCGTTTGATACGACATTCATGCCACAGTTCACCGATATAGCGCGACAGATCTGTGCACGTGTATCGCATCGCCTCTACTGGATTCACTTCATCCTGCAAAATCCAACGAGTGCGAATCTCTCGATGAAAATTAATGAAAATTATTCTCACTACGCCATTACGTGAATTAACAACTGTTTTTGGATAATACTCAAGAAAGTAATATAGCAGCGGAATCTTTACCACATTTTCCATGAGCAAATCGTTCGCGTTTACATGTGGATGAGAGAACAGCTCTCGCATAACATCAAGGGCAACACTTGAGAACAACTGAAATGATAATTGACAACTGACAACTGAAACGAATTCATTGTTTTTCTACCTATCATATTTCGACAAATATAGCTAGAGATCATCAAAAATACAAGCACTGAACCAGTGATATGAGAAATTTACTTGATCCGTTGACGACGAAGAATCGTTTTGCGTTGCATTACTCAATGGTTGTGACGGCGATGATGCAGACACCTTTCTCATCAGACGTTTCATTTGTGGAATTGGCATATGCAACGTGGCTAACAGAGCCGAGCGCACTGCAGCTGCCCAAAGCACGACCTCGTAGATGAACGAAAGAAGTTCTGCAAAGCAGTACGATTTGNAAAATTCGAAGAAATTCATAGATTTCTTCAAACTTTTTCGCAAACTCCTCGACTCAATAAGAGTTTTCCCACGTATGAAATAAATAGGTACCCGGACAATTTGCCTAGAGACGTTTTGCCTAAAGACACATTGCCTAACGGACAGTTCGCCTAAGGAAAGTTTGCCTATTAGACAAAATATCCGTTAAAAAACTGTCCGTTAGGCAAATTTTCCTTAGGCAAATTGTCCATTACGCAAACTGTCCGTTAAGCAATGTGTCTTTAGGCAAACTGTCCTTGAACAAAACATCTTTAGGCAGATTATCCAGTCACGAATAAATACACACATGTGAATAACTACAGTCATTCCCATATGCTTCATATATACATATGTACGTACGAAATATGTAGGACTGAAGATAATTCACTCTCTTACCGATGCTAGTATATCTGAATCATCAGGCACTGGCTTTGGTACGGGAACGGAATCTGGAGACGAAATCGCAGACGACGGTGAAGAGACTTCAGCCTGAGCCAACGGTGGATTCGGCCCTTCAATGCTGCTGTCAATACTGCTGCTGTCGATACTGCTCGTACTATCGCTTCGAGTACTCGGACCGTCCGTTGTGCCACTACTGCTGGTCAACGTTGACTGCGTGGTATCGTCAGTGGGATTCGGCGAATTTTCACGCGAATCTTCCGGCTCTGAGTGACCAGTGTTCGGTAGGAAACCATCGGTTAGTTGACGCCATTGATAGTTTGCGAACACGATATCACGCTCAACACCCTCATATCTCGCCGCATAGATCAAATGTTCTGCAAAAGAACAAAACACAAATCAAATTTAATCTGAAACCAACAAACCAAACAAATTAACAATGAAAACTAAATTTTACAAGAAAATCACAAAATAGATTACAATCAAATATCATAGCTTTCCTTCGATCTTCACACTATTAAAATTTTTCTTAAACAACACTGGATGGTTCAATTGCACAATTTATTTATTGCATAATATACTCATCAAATCCAGCTCTGTATTCACTTTCACTTCATCCCATAAACTTAGCCATCTATAACGCTAACTCAATTTACTCATCACAAATCATTCTACAAGCTGCACTGACTATGAGTCTATCCCATAAGTTGAACAAAACGGAATCTACGAGAAGAATTCAAACTGATACCAGTTGGTAGTAGGCGATTACTGCGATCAGTGATATCCAGCTCAGACAGCAACACATTTCGTTCAACGTTTGCTCTGAAAACAAAGAAAAGAAAAAACATAAGAATTTTTGGATCACTTATAAAAAACAAATTTTTCATGCTGACAATCCCACATATATCAAGGCTGCTCCTCAGACAATCAGGGCATTTGAATTTACAATCTCATTCAACTTAAATAAATAGAAACGACTCAATGAGAACTCAAACGCTTCTATACGGTCCATTCAATACAAAAAATTCAACAAAATATCCCGCATTACTTGGCCAATCCCAGTGTGAACGATTGTCCTTTGGCACGTAACCGTTCACCCACATCACCACGATACGTTGTCCACTTCTCACAACGCATGATGAAATTCGTAAACGTTTGACGATACTTTATGAAACTCTCCACGTCACTTTCCTCCAATCGAATATTTATATGAAAATGCTTGAAGAGCAAAAAAAAACTAAACAAAAAATACTGCAACGATTACTTATTTTGATTCACCATACGAGATTCTAATCGTGGAAGGATTGCTGAAACATGATAGTAATTGATACCTGAAGTGGTGGATTGGTTTTCTGCAACGAATTCTGCACAGCCACTATGTCTCGTTTGTACGTATAAGCATCGTCAGATTTTTCTGGTAGACTATTCCTGAAAAATCTTTTTGATAAAAATCTTTGATATAACTGACAAACCACCTGACTCTACTGCACATTCATAAATTCAAACAGATACGTGCTTGAACCAATACGAAGGCCTAAAAGTATCGAAACTGTACCTAAGTCGTTCAATATCAATGTCAGGTGTAAGCGGGAGTAGACCATGAACAGTGGCGCGACACATCGGACACGACACATCAATACGCAAATCCAACGGATTGACACGCAATGGAGGTGATTCCTCAAATTGGATCACACAATAAGACACAATAACATAATACCATGACACTCTAAACAATCATAAAATCATCCATATTAGATGCAGTCTTTGACTTAAGCGCTACAAACTTTATCCACTTGAAGACGATTCTTAAATTGGTTTAAGAATTCGACTTTCCCTAAGAACTCAACGAAACACTCATGCAGATCACGTTATTTGCGGTGACTTGAATCCGATACGAAAAGTATTTGTTGCTAACAATAAGAATAACTTCCGAACTTACCCATAGCGTTTGAACGTATGCTTTATAGCATTTCATATGTGCAAAATGTCCACACGTTCGCACTTCCACACCGGTTGGCACCTGTACTAAGTCGGCGAAAATAGGGAAGCGCTGAAATTACTCGACTATTTCGAAGAAAATCGAAACAAACTAAGGAAAATAATGATTGATGGATGGCGAGTAAGTGATTCAACGATGCTTACTCGCAAACAACACAACAATACACCCACTTGTTCGAGAAGCATTCTCTTCGCAACATCGCAATGCTTCATCATGTTTCGTTGCAGCAAACAACCGTTGTTCTTCAACGTCTCCGCGTCCCAATCCAGCAACGACAACGGTGAGCCGTCTGATGGCAACGAATGTTCAACCACTGAAAGTGTAATACTATGAAAAACTGATAGACAGTTGACGCTCAATGTTGATGTTGACGCACTTCAGATCTCTGAATTCGCACATACAATTAACTAATCATAAAAATGCAAAAGGATTACGATTTCCTTGTATATAACAAAAACTGGATATATAAAGGTATATATTCGTTCAAGAGCATAATACTTATTGAGATGAGCGAAATTATTCTATAAACAGAGCAAATTCTTAAAAATCAGAAATCTGTCCACATGAAACAGTTAAAAACCTCAAAGACTGAATCGAAACTGCTATAAGCTTCTATCAGTAGAAAGATAATTTTTGAAATTAAATATTAAATTGTAAGTGAGTAACTTGAACACTGCAACTCAGTGATAAACGTTGAATTGGACAAGAAAAAAAGTTTTTAGACCAATAATGAGAGATTAACCATAATTGTTGACGATACTCACTAAAGCACCAACTGGATGCGATAGCGTACTTGCAGTCGTATCGCCGCATATTGGACACTCGTAATGTCGAACTTCTGATTTCTCAAATTCGTACGCACAATTAACTAATCATAAAAAATTCTCAAAGATTAAGAGATCCTTGCAAACAACAAAAAAACACCATCAATTATTCCCCATGAACCATATATAAGCACACGAACAAACGAAATTTTCATAATTTCATTTAAAATCATCCAACATATCAGAAAAAGGAAAGCAAGATCAAGGACCGAACGGAAACGCATTACGGCCAGCAACGTTACAAACGTCTGATAGCCTGGCAAATCCAGGTAATTCAGGTAATATCAGAAATCCAGGTAATCCAGGTAATATCAGAAAAAGAAACAACCTGCGTGGTATCCATAGCGTCCATTTGTGTTTGAGTTAAGCCTTCACGAAGCATCATTTTCTGCATTAACGTAGCATTCTTCTTTTTACGTGCTGCCAGAAGCGCCTAAAGGAACTTCTTAAATCCGATAAAAGACTCAGTTACTTAAACAATCCGATAAAAGCTATAGCTAAAGCAATATCATTTACCGACAACACTTAAGGTAGAGGTGATGATTACCTGTTGACGTCTTTTCGCATTCAATCGTTTCTCGGCATTGCTACGCGCCTCCGAATCGTCTGCTTCCGAGGCCACTTTCCTAGGCGAATCAACACCCACTCTCATGACCATCAACGAATCCAAATATTGCTGTGCCTCCTTATCACTACAAACCACTCAAAATTGGTTTAACACTTCTGACACAGCTGTTACTGTCTTTATCAACACTAATTATTGTTAGTTGGACATCGAGTGGTTGTTTTGTCAA